CATAAGAGTCAAAGCACAAATGACCTCGAGTATATTCTGCCTGAAAGTAGAGACCATCTCAACAGCAGATTTGATGTGCTGAACACTAATGACTGAACACCAGGCAAGTGGCGGGGTACCATCTAGGAAATCACACATGAAGAAAGCAAAAGGTCATTAAAAAGATAGGAAGAAAGAAAATACCAAAATGGAGATGAGAAGAGACTTGGAAGCTTGCTCTTGAACATAGAGCAGCTAAAGCAATTTGAAAAAGTGATATTGTAGAAGAATTGAACAGAATCTCTCAAAAAGCAGCTCCAGAAAACTAGGTAAAGTAATTTAATGAAATATGAAAAAGACTCAGAGTTAAAAAAACAAAAGCACAACCAACATTTCTTAAGCTGAAAAACTGAAAGAAAAATTTCAAACCTTGAGTCGCAATACTGAAGGATTCTATGTGTAAAAAAAAAAAAAAAAAATTCTATGATACATGAAGGATCAAAATAAGGTGGAAAGAATACACAAGATCCTTGTACCAAAAACTACTGGCTGCTGATATTTAACTATTTGAGGAGGTAGCAAACCAGTGTTTCTTAAGGTAGATGGCAAAGCTGCACTGAAAGCCTTGTTGAAAACTGAGAATCCAGAAATGGTCAGAATACCAATGACGATGCTTCAACAAACAGATGCAACACTGGAAGCGTTCGAAAAAACAAAAAAGGAAAACAACTACCTAGCCAACCAACTAGAAGAGATTTATGCCCATTCTAAAGAAATGATCCAATGGAAGGTGGATATTATAAAACAGTATCAGTAAGAATACATGCAAGTAAATTTTTCCAGAAGATAATTTAAAAAGGGCTGTAGCTGCACACTGACTGTAAACTGCCAGAAATTCAAATCAAATCTAGAAGAAGTAAGACAAGGAAGATCCTTGCTGATGTTAGGTGGATCCTGGCTAAAAGCAGAGGATACCAGAAAGATGTTTACCTGAGTTTTTACTATGCAAAGGAATTCAACTGTATGACTCATAACAAATTATGGATAACATTCTGAAGAATAGGAATTCCAGAACACTTAATTTTGCTCATGTGGAACCTGTATATAGACCAAGAGACAGTCATTTGAACAAAACAATGGGAAGTTGCACTATTTAAAATAAAAAAAGGATCCAGGGTTATATCCTTTCACCATACTTACTCAGTCTGTATATTACTGTAGTTGTTAAGTGCCATATGGTTGGTTCTGACTTATAATGACCCGTATAGGGTTTTTCAAAGAATAATTGGTGAGTTTGAACCACCGATCGTGTGGTTAGCAGTCCAGTGTTTAGTATCCTACACTTGCCCATCCTTATCTACCCTGTGAACCGAAGGGATAGCATTGATACTTGATGTGAAGACTCCTTCCCTCTCTGTTGATATTTAGAGCTACTATCTCCATGAGTATAGGTCAAATTCATCAAATTGTAGCAATTTACCCTTGTTTCCTTTATCCAAAACATTTTTTTTTTTTTTAAATTATCTTCCTGTTGTCGAGTTCTGATCATCAAGCCATTGAGGCTAGGTCAAATGGGTACTATCTGTAAGTTTGGGTGTTTTTGTGCGTCTCCCCTCACTTCCTATCAGCTGGATGCTTCACTCTCAGCTCTAGCCTTCTGTGGCTATGTCCTTGTCCATGGGCTCAGGTGTTCCCAGGTCTCACTAGACTTTGGACCAACCAGCCCTACCTCTTATCTCTCTCATCTCCAGGTCAACGGGAGTCCATGGAACGTGGCTGAACTCAGCCCATCTCTTTATTGCTCCCTCTTTCACTCACCAGTAGACCAACGTGGTTGTCAGCAAACTTACATGGCTGCTCATGTGTTCCCTTTGAGTTTCAGTCCTAGAGGGGGGTTTGTCTTGAGGGAAGCCATGGTCTTTTTATCACCTCACATGTAGGCAAAAAATGGACAATGAAAAAAGGAAGACTGAAGAGGAAATGGACCAGCCTGCAGCAGCTAGAGGAACAGAAGATACTTCTTGAAAGAAAGACCAGCAGGAAAAGTCAAAAACAAAAACAGCAGTCTGACTGACTACCACAAGAACAAGCAAGTTGTTCACCAGGGAGCCATCAAGTCATGCCATCAAGTCCTTTCAGGACAAACCCCTTTCCAAGACTGAAAATCAAACATGTAATCTTGCTAGCAACCATGCTGATCTACCGACAAGGGGAAGTGGAGGAAAAGCAGCAATGAAGACATGGGCTGAGTCTGACCACATTCAATAGACTCTCGTCAACCTGGAGTGAGACCTGGTTGGCCAGCAGTATGGTGAGACCTGAGGACTCCTGAGCCCATGGACAGGGACATAGTCACAGAGGACTAGAGTGGAGAGTGAAGCATCCAGCTTATACATAGTGAAGGGAGATGCACCAGAACACCCATACTTGCAGAGAGTACCCATTTGACCTAGCTTCAGTGGCTGGATGGTCAGAACTTGACTAGAGGAAGAAAGAAGATAAAAAAGTGTAATCCTCTACCTATACTTATGGATGTAGTAGCTTAAAAGAGGGAACAAATCCTCACAGCAAGGATCATTCCCACCCCCTCTGTACACAAGATTCACAGGGAAGGGCAACTTAGACATTGGCTACCCAAAGTGATGGTGGTGGGGGCTATAAAGGCATGAAGTGACTGGTTTACAAGTTTTCAAGAGGGAGTTTTGTTTCAGAGGGTGCAGGGGAAGGCAGAATCTCCACTGAATGGTTTTCAACCTGTCTAGATAGGGCTGGTGAAAGGAGATGGGGATAAGACTCTTGTGGTTCAATATTGAATAATTATTATCAGGACTGATTGTGATTGTTGCACATGTAAAGGTAGACATTTTGTAACAAAAGGAGGGGAGTGGTTGAACTTGCAGTTCAGGAGCAGTGGACCCTGGGACTATCAAGGAAGAAGAGAGGAGTGTGGGACCCTATCCAGAGAAGCAGAGATGCCAGAGATGGAGGCAGACATGATGACATGTTAAGATGGAGTGGCTGGGACCTCTAGGCTCATGGAGAGAAAGGGGCTGTGTGCTGGCGGCTGGTGGGCAGGCTTACAGGGTATGTCCTTTGGTTGTTTGAATGATTATATATTCCTGAGTGCTTTGGTGTACACCCAGAACAAAACAAAACAAAAAAACAGAGGGAATAGAAACAAATGCTGTTGAATGATGACACATGGAGAGGATTGTAGTCATTGCCATTGCAGTGAAATGGAATACGACCAGATGAGTGTAAAGCTGATGTACTCCCATGTAAACTATCACTCAATTTGCAATAAAAACTTTTTTTTAAAAAAAGTACATTCCGAGTCACTATAACTGAAGTAGAAATACAAATTCTCAGTAAAGGACTGAACAGGATTGAGCTAGTTCAAATCCCTGGCAGCAGAAAATTTGATAACAATATAGGCAGCTATTGGCATTATGACCCTCTGCCATCCCTGGATCACTGCCTTCTTTCTTGATGTCCCAGAGACCACAAAGAGGAAGAACATGGTGGGGTAATTGCTCCAACATATCCCAGGAGCTGTGAGCTAGAATTCTAATGTCTAAACCCTCTCTTCTTAAGCACACACCCTGTCAACTCCTTACCTTAGAAACAGAATACAAACATGAGGGATTGCTAAAGTCTTTATCCTGTCAAAAACTGACAGTAACACGAGTAACATGGAGAAAAACTAATTTTACAATAGACCACCCATGTCTATCACAAAGTCTGAAGTGTGAGAACTTTTTCTGTCTCATATTTTTCTTTTTTGCCCAAATTGAAGAGTAATGAGAAAACTGCAGACTGACTGTTGTAGAAAGAGTCTCCACATACACGGATAGTCAGGGGTCGGCAGGGGGTATGCGTTTTCTTCTATTTGATGAAGAAATAAATGTCCAGCTGTTTCAACTTTGTGATGTGGAAATAAGAACTTGTATATAATTTAATAGGAATATTATAACACAATGATTAATGCAATCAAGAAAAAAAAGGTAAAAACAATTGCATTTTTCTCTCTTGAAATGAGTGATTCTGGTAAACAGGATTATTCAACTTGAAATAATTAGGTTTCTGGTTCCCAGAATTTAGATCTTACCTGTCACTGCAAACTATCTAAATTGTTATAAGTATGTATGTGTGTGTGTGGTATCAATAAAACTAAAAACATTTATAAAACATTCCTTTTCAAAACTTATACTTACTTTCTAACAAGGAAGGAATCTAATATATTTGTAATACAACTTAGATATAAGTAAAGATGTTTACATCATTAAAAAAAAAAAAAAAGAAATGGTATATTTGGCTTTGAATGCTGCATATACCATGGGCTGTCAGAAGAAGCAACAAATTTGTCTTGGGGTAAGTACAACCAGGATACTCCCTAGAAGCCAAGATGGTGAGACTCTGGTTTACTTGAGACTGTTACGAGGAAGAACCAATCCCTGGAGAAGGACATCATGCTTTAAGAAGACCCTTAAAGAGATGGACTGACTCAGTGGCTACAACAATGGGCTCAAACATACTTACAACTGTGAGGATGACACAGGATGAAGCAGCTTCTCATTCTGTTATACTTAGGGTATAAGCTGGAAGCACCTTGTCGGCACCTAGCAACACCACGTTAATACTAAGGTTGTGATTGTGTTTTAAAGTGTTGAACCAAGGCTAGGTATCTAGAATCTTTAAATTCCCAATCATTCATTTGTAATCAATATTTTCTGCTTCACATATAGCAACTGACATTTATGAACTTTAAAATGCTTTCAAATAGTGAGGTCCATTCTCTTTCTACCAGAATTTGCAATACGCCCACATTAAAAACTCCCATGCTTTACCTCCTATCCACATTGACCTTTGGAAGGCATAGTTCTTCATTTGATTTCTGTAAACATGTTATAACCTGAATTTTCTGGTAATGTACAACGCAGGAGATATCATTCTGAGAGGAAGATACATGCATGAAGAATACTTGCAAAATCAGCAGCATTAGAAAGAACTCTGCCAGGTACCTTTAAGATGGTAATATTCCAGGTAAAGCTCTCCACTGCTTTTTGTAGTTTTCTTTCCTTCAGACCTTCCTTTGTGCCTATGCTGTGCAAGTGTTCGTGGAATTCCATGGCTGAAAGACATTATTTAAAAAAGGAAAGAAATATATTATTTCCCCATCAAATCTGTGGCAATGAACCAGTAACATCGATTGTTTTTTTAGGTACATTGAAAACGATTCTAACCTCCAGTGGCATTTCATAAATGTGCCTATTTAAGAAGGTATAATGCTTAATCTGGCTATATACTAGACCCAAGATTAAGTTGCTTGTTCAAACTGAAATTTAAGTAAGTTTCTCCTTTCCAAGAGCTGAAACACAAACCAATCAGTTAATTCTCCAAGAAACAGAAACCTAAACCAACCAATTAGGATTTGCCTGCTCAGTTTAACAAAGTTTAAAAATTTTCCCTTAGTTCCAAATAAGGAAGAAAAGTCTGAAATTCTCCCAGTACAGTGTCAATCAATGTTCCTCTTGTGTCTGTGCTTGCAAAAACCCTTCCACTTTGTACCAAGATTTGGAGTGCTTGTCTGGCTTCTAGACCAGACATTACCCAATTTATTAATTGAAAAATAAAGCTTATGAGCTCATACACAAATTTAATATGGAAACTAAATTTTTAGCAGGTGCCAGGGGGAGAAATGCTGAAAATTCCTAATGTCCGCAAGGTGGAAGGCATCGTAAAGATCAGTAGTAGTTCTTCATGGTTTTAAAGGTAGACAAGGTGAATATGATTTTAGAGATGAGGAAGACGAGTCTCAACAAGTTTCAGAGATCAAAGTCTGTAGAGGTAGTAGGAGGAAGAGCTGAAACCAGACCCCAGGTCTTTGGAGTTTCAGTCAGGTTTGTTGTTGTTAAGTGCCATCAAGTTGGTTCCAAGTCATAACGACCCTGTCTAGGATTTCAGAGGAACGGCTGGAAGGTTTGAACCTCCAACCCTGTATTTCAAACAACTTTATGCTTCTCCTACAGCACCACCTCCCTAAACGTGCAAAAGTAGGTTTCTGTACAATGCAGGATGTAATGTTGGCAACAAGGGATGAAGAATGAAAAATGGTGTACTTTTTTGTGTGTCAATCTTAGGTCAGATACCAGGCAAATTGTAAATGACAGGGGCTGGGGAGAAAGACCATGTTCCCTAACTCTGCATTTATATTATGACTTTTACCAGGATTTACACATGAATATTCTCTGGTGGTAGTGGTTATGTGCCGTGGAGTCAGTTCCGATTCACAGCGACCCTGTACAGGGTTTCCGAGGCTGTAAATCTTTACAGGAGCAGAAAGCCTCAAGAGGCTCCTCACTGCAGCAATGTCTTTGGGCACAAAACAGCTTTGATGCCCTCCTGCTAAAATTCCTTTGATTCAGACATGCAAAATCACACTCATGTTTTTTTTAAAAAAAGAAAAACTGTGGTAAAAATATGTAACTAAACATTTACCATTTCAATAATGTTTAAGTGTATAATTCAGTGACATTCATTACAGCCACCATATTGCACAACCATCATCACTATCTATTTTTTAAATGTTTGTCATTACGCTCAAATAGAAACTCAGTAGTGATCCTCTATTCCCCCCTTTCCCTCAGCCCCTGGGAGCCACAAATTGACTTTTGCCTCTATGTATTGGTCTTTTCACAGTATGACATATAAGTGGGGTCATACAGCATTTGTCCTTTTCTCCGCCTTATTTTATTCAATGTTTCATCAAGCTTCATCTATGTCACAGCATGTATCAGAACTTCTCTTTAAGGTTGAATAATATTCTATGGTATGGATATATCACAGTTATTTTTATCCATTCATCATTTGCTAGATGGGTTGTTTCAACTTTTTGCCAATTGTGAATGCTGCAGTGAAGACTGGTGTAGATATATCTGTTTGAATCCCTTGGAGTGCAATTCCTAGGTCATATGGTAATTCTACGTTTAACTTCTTGAGGAATTTCCAAACTGCTTTCCACAGTGACTATATCATTTTATATTCCAACAATCAATGGATGAGGGCTCTAATTTTTCTACATAGGACTTTGAACATCTTTTCATGTGTTTATTGTCTTGGTGAAATATCTATTAAAGTCCTTTGCCCATTTCTAAATTGGGTGTTTTTTTCCCTTATTGTTGAGTTGTAGGTATTCTTTATATATTCTCGATATGAAACTTTTTATCAAATATATATTTTTCCTATGCTGTGAGTTGTTTCTTCATATTTTGTTAAATTCCTTTGACACACATACATTTTTAGTTTTGATGAAATAAACTTATCAGTTTTGTCTTCTGTTGGTTGAACTTTTGGTGTGGTAGCTGAAGAATTTATTGTCAAAAATTGGGTCTTAGAACAAACAAGATGGCTGTGATGGTAGACATGCAGTAAGGAGCTCCATCAGCAACAACACAGAATACTGCACCAAGCAGGCACAGGGGATGGTCCCAGAACTCTGAACCACATATAAAGGAATATTTAGAAGGTTGGAAGGCTTACAGCTAGGGGAATTTGCAGCAGAAGCAAGATATCCAATGCTTTCTAATTCAAGACACTCAGCTGTTCCCAGAGCTACCATCTTGGGTGGGACCAAGCAGGAGAAGGATCAGAGCAGCCAGGGATGCCTGACAGAACTGCGGAGATAAAGGTGTAGACATTCTGTTCTTTTCTCTTTTTTTGTATCTGTTCATTGGTCTCTCACTGTCTGCACACCTCTATTCTGGTAACTAGAGGGGGTGCCTAAGCAAGTAGACACCCCAACCTTGCCCCCGGAGGCTTCTACTAGGCATGCACATAGACCTCCTCAAAATTTAAAGTGACAGTTTCCATTTAAAACCAAACAGTACTGCAAAATGGCCACAGCCAGCCCTGAACTCTTTATTGCTAGGAAAAAGGCCTGAATGGGGACTGTGGAGCAGGACTGGCAAACTATAAAGGAAATAGGCCAAAAATTAAATCCTGAGTTACGTCAAAACGACCAACAGTGGCATCTTGAAATTTCTCAAGAAGAAGAGTGAAAAGGGAAGCCCATCTCCTGTTCACAAATACCTGGAGGCAATCAGAAAGCATAAAAAATACCAAAATACATACCCATCTAACTATTAAGGCCACAGATAACTCCTGAATATGCCCCCAAAACAGAAACAGACGACCATATTAGCACATGTCCAGAAATGAGATAAAGTGACTGAGGCAAATGAGCTGGAAGCAGACCTACACTCCATACTGAAAGATGGGCAGGCTTTGGAAATGCCTGAGAAGGAATTCAGAAAAAATGATTGTAAAATGTATCAAAACACTATAAAATGGAGTTGAGAAAAATAAGGAAGAAGTCAGGAAAGTAGTACAGAAACAATCAAATAAAATAGATACAGCATTGGAAACAATTCAAAACCTACAGAAAGAGGTCCAAACGATAAATAATAGAATATAAAAAATGTACAATATACTGAAAGGGCAAAGGAACAGAACTGAAGAGATAGAAGCCAGAACTGGTGAGCTAGAAGATAAATTTCTCAACGCTACTAAGATAGAAGAGCAAATACAAAAAAGGATAAAAAAATCTGAAGAAGGACTAAGATTCATGTTGGACAATATGAAGAGGAATAACTTAAGAATTATTGGCATTCTGGAACAGAAAGAATCACACAAGTCTACAGAAGAGATAGTTGAAGAGCTGCTGGAAGAAATTTCCCTAACATTCTGAAAAGCAAAAAATAAGCATTCAAGAAGCTCAACAAACCCCAGGAAGGACAGACCCTAAAAGAAAATCACCAAGACATATAATAATCAAGCTCTCCAAAACCAAAGATAAGGACAGAATCCTGAAAGCAGCTAGGGAAAAGAGAAGTGTAACACACAAAGGCAAGCAAATCAGACTAAGCTCGGATCTTTCAACAGAAACCATGCCAGCAAGAAGGCAATAGGGAAACATATATAAAACCCTGAAAGAAAGAAAAAAAACCGCCACCCAAGAATCCTCTACCCAGCAAAGGTGTCCATCAAATATGAATGTGTAATTAAAACATTCCAGGATAAACAGAAGCTAAGGGATTTTGCCTAAGGCAACTCTGCTATGAAAAACATCCTAAAGGAAGTTCTGTGGACTGAGAACCAACAAGAACACACAACAACCACAGAATGACGTACATGGCAACATTACCCTGAACTCAATCGACAAATGGAAGAGTCAAGAACAGAATAAAATGATAAGAACAGAGGATCCGGGAGGTCAGTCTATGATCAAAACAATCACAATGCGAAAGAAGGTAAATACAGAGGAACAGAGATCCAGGTGGTGAGAAGGTCAGGTAGATTACAGGATAAAACAGACTGTCTTAAATGGAGGGAAGAGTTAATGGAGTATAAGGTAACCACAACAGTGGGGTTAGGGGTGAGGGGTTTAGTTAGGGTGTTGGGGAGGGCAATACAAGAAGGGGAGGGGATGGAAGAACAAGATAGATAGGGGAACACTGAGACAAGTTTGCATGGCCTAAATGGGACAGAGGTAAACAGTAATGCATGTTTAACCTTGGAACACCAGGGTTCTGTGATACAGGGGTCTAGGCATAGTTTGAAGAGGAGAAATAATATTAAAATGCTTGACTGTCTTATGAATATTGGCTTCACTTGCCTACTATTGTAAAATAAACACTTGTGTGGAATAGAAAGGAATGTTGGGAAACATGATTAGAGAAAACTTGTAAGCCCGTCTTCAGCCTATAACTGATTGGAATACCTAAAAGGGGCTCTAGAACTTGCCCTGTGAAATAGGCCTCTTGCAAAGCCTTTGCAGAGTATACAATCTTAGGTGGAATCCTGAGTCCCATCTAGAACCTTATGAGGTGGGACGTTCCCACTAGCAAGAACAAGCACATCAGACTGGAATAGCTAGAGCAACAGAAGATACACCTTCAAAGAAAGATCATCTGGAAAACCTCAAAACAAAAATGTCAGCATGACTGGCTACTACAAGAATATGCAAGCTGTTCACCAGGAAGCCATCAAGGCAAGTAATCAAGTTCCTTCAGGACAAACTCCCCTTTAAGACTGAAACTCAAAGGGAACATATGAAAAGGCATGTAAGTTTGC